CGGCGGCAGCCCCCGGGTCCTAATCTCACCTTGGCTGGAGCTCAGGCTGCGCCGCTCTCCAAGAAATGCCGTTTCGTATGAAGTGCCTTGCTAAGGGCACAGCAATAGCAATTTAATATTTTGTTGACATCACGTCCTAATTTGGACAGTGCGGAAATCGGGAATTCTGGCTTATTTAGGTGCCTCTTCCAATTGTTGTTTTGTGACCTTGGGCACCGTTAATCTTCTCCTTGGCTGGAGCTCAGGCTGCGCCGCTCTCCAAGAAATGCCGTTTCGTATGAAGTGCCTTGCTAAGGGCACAGCAATAGCAATTTAATATTTTGTTGACATCACGTCCTAATTTGGACAGTGCGGAAATCGGGAATTCTGGCTTATTTAGGTGCCTCTTCCAATTGTTGTTTTGTGACCTTGGGCACCGTTAATCTTCTCATCTGTAAAAGGGGGATAAGGGTATAAATTCCCTCATTTGAAAAAAAAAAACACCCACCACGTTCAGAAAATTTTTTTGGGAAAGAAACATGTGCATCGGCGTTAAATATCATTGCAGTGGACTAGGAAAAATTGCTGTCATAGGGATGTTTGTTTCTCCTGTGAGGCCTAAAAAAAAAATTACACAACTACGGATGACTAGGTTGCAGTTAAGAAAATGCTCAAATCCTTCAAAGAATCGCGACAGTTTGGCTATCCTGTTGCTTGAATGTTGCCCTAATGCCTTACTGTGTTTATCTTACTCTGCTACTGTGATTTCTGTGCAATTGTAAAGTTTGGAGGATTGGCATTGTCTTTGTCCATTTATATAGCTCTCTATTTTAATAGCTCATTGCTTATGATTATGACAAGCAGTGGTTGGTACAAGTTTTGAAAGCAGACATTTTTAAAATACTCAATATATTCTACAAACTCTGAAACCGTAAGAAATGGGTCAAATCTAGAGAAATATAACTTTTATATCCTGCCATATAGAAACAAGTACTCTGCATCTGAAAATTGTGGTAACTTAGAAAAGCAAGTCAAAAAGGGGGGGAGGTGGAACTTGCAGGGGTGAAGGTACGTTAACTGCATACGTCTGGCGGGTAAAAACAATGTCGCTAGCTAATATATGTGGTATGTTTGGCAGTGTACACAGTATGAGAGGTGTTTTTTCTTTCTTACTTGCTTCATGTTGCAGCGCACAGCTGGCATTCCAAAATAATTTGTTAGCTAAAGCTGCTTTTTAACAGGCAATGAAATATTGGTTATCCGTAATGGAGATCATATGCCTGGTGAAAAATCCATGTTTCTAGCTGAAGTCATGTGGTTGTCTAGTGGCAGAGAACATGATTCTTTCTCCCTGCAGTGTTTGCATAAAAGATTGAAGAATATTGTGAGAAAGATGGTGGTAATGCTTGTGCAAAAATCCTCACTAGCTACCATTGGGATTTTGGGTGGAGGTTAAGACAGCAGTTAAAATCTGAAAAATCTCAGATGATTTGAGAAACTCCTACTTTAGCATTTGACTACTGCTCAGGTAAATCGGTTTATATTACAGTATAAAGTGCAAGTATAATAAGCATTTTTTTATTTGTCACTTTTATCTTTATGCATCCAGCCCACACCAGTGAAGTTGCACAGGAAGTAATAGCTCTCTATATTGGTGCTACTGCCATGCTGCATTTTGCACAAGAATTCCTCCTCAGTTTTTGACCTTTTCTTTTTCTCTCTCAGTAGCCAACGTGGATTTACTTTTAGGGCTTGCTGCAAATGTCATGCCTGAGCCAGTAACTAGCGGAGAATTATATGCCTGGAAGATCCAGCCAATGGCGTGGGTTTCTTTTTCCAGGGAAAATGACTGTCAAGAACTGAAACTTTTTGTAGAGGCCCATTTGGTTTGCCTACCATTATCTGGTAAAACAGAGGCATTCAAAATCTATGCTTTTTGTGCTAATGAAATTAAAAAAAAAAAAAAAAAAATCTACTCAGTTGTTCAGAATGTACAGTAGGACATAAGTGCCTTAAAATAACTTTCAAAATTATTTCAGAAGTCAAGATTTTTTTTGAAGTACACATGCCTTCTGATAGCCCTTAGTGAATTTGTAGGTTACCTCAATGTAGCTTTCCAGCTTGGTTTTATGCTTTGAAAAGGAAGATTTGATTATTTTTGCCTGTTGCCAGTCCCTCTCTATTTTTTTTTAATGCAGCTACAAGAGTGTTGAATACATTCCAGAGTAGAGGGGAAGGACCTTCTTTCCTTCTTTCTTTCAATCAGTTCTTTGGAATACGGAGCCAATTACTCTGTTGTTGTTATCATAGTTCTTTCATATTCTTTCCTGTTCTCCCTCATACCTCAAAATATGTCTTCTGGAATTTGGCCCTAGCTTTGCTTTCTTAGAATGGCAAGGTCTATGGGATGGGATTTTGAAAGGTGAGACACTATTATAAGTAAAGGAGTGTGGACAACTTAAAGAAAATAAAATTTGGTAATTTAGTGTACCTGCATCTTTTGAAGTTACCCTCCAGAGGAAGATATGAAAAAAATGTATTCCCAGATATTCCAAATAGTACAAAAGGTGGACACGGGGCAAGGGAGGGTGGGGGAGGATCAGAGTAAGCATTTGTTTTGTTGCTCAGTCCGTGAGGTCAAATAGATATGAGTCACGAAGGCATTGCAGTCACTGTGTTTTCATGATTTTTGCATTGCATATATAATTCTCTTAAGAATGAGTTTTGGGGTGTAAACTAATTAAAATTATTTCCAAGGCTTTCCTTATGGTAGAGGATTTTGCAATTACAAGTGAGTTGGAATTTTGCAGCTTAAAAGAAAATGCTTTCACAACTCTAGACTTTCACTTACAAATGGTGACTTCTCATTATACTGCTTGTTACTGCTTCTTAATTATTGATTCTTCTCATAATACTGCTTCTTGCTACTTTTCAAATATTATTATGTTTTCCTTAAAGGAAGCTAAGCTTTTGATGGTTACGGAGTGATTTTAGAAATTTTGTCACAGAGTTTAAGTGGGGACAAAGGTTCCTACTTGGGGACAAGCACTGGACTACTTGGAAGAATGATTTGTATTTTTGTCCCACTCATCAGTTTTGCTGGACTCAAATATTTTAATTTTGTTATTTTAATACAAAATCTCTTGTCTTGAAAGGGTTTATGCAGAAGCAGAGTTCAAGCTAAGGATCTTGGCTGTCTTGGGTGATAAAGACTTCTTTGGAAGAGCAACTTATCCTAAGGAGTGACCTACTAGATCAAGACCGTAGTCCATTAAGTAACAGTTTAATACTGTGTTGAGCAAAACTTGATACTGATAATACAGGTCTTGATCCTCATGCAGTTTTTGCCCTAATCAAACACAGAAGAGATGTGTCTTTCAGTATACTCAGACAGTAATTTGTGACTGTTTTGAATTGGAAAAGTTTAAAAAAAAAGACCGAACAAACCAAAACCCCAAAACAACTGCATCTGTTGCTGATCAGCCATCAGATAATACTGTCTTCAGTCCACACTGTTCCTCATCTTCGCTACTTTGGGACTGGGGAGAACAGGTGGCGAATGTAGAGATAAGCAAGAAAGGTCTGGACTTCTGTGGTTCAAAATCAATATTTGTATTTGTTTGGGGTGGGAAGGTCAGTATTAGATCAGAAGATAATGCTTTCCTCCGTGTATTGTTGATCTGTCCTTTCACGTTTCTGAATTGATGTGCACCATAACTCATTTAAAGTCCACTAAAATAATATATTCATAAAATGTGAAAACCTTAGATTACAGATTGAAGAGTTTCTAGTTGCTGCTACTACACTGTGACTAAAGTAGCAGTCAGGGATCCTGCCACCTATTATGCAAGTTACAAAGGAGTCATATGAGACAGATGTATGTAGAGCCTTATTTTTCTTTGTGTCTTCCAGTTGTGCCCCTTGCGTTGTGCTTATTGTACCTAGACTGAGCTTCAGATTGGTTGTTTTCTTAAGGTGCATTGTGAAATGCCTAATAAATATCTACCCTGGTGTTCACTCAGAACAGCTCACTGTACCAGTATTGTAGTTTAACCCTGCAGGCAGCTGAACACCACGCAACTGCTCACTCACTCCCCGCCTCCCTCAATGGGATGGGGGAGAGAATTGGAAAGAAAAAAAATAGGTAAAAACTGCGGGTTGAGATAAAGACAGTTTAATAAAACAGAAGGGAGGGAAAAAAAATAGAATATACAGAATGTACAGAACAAGTGATGCGCAATGCAATTGCTCACCACCCACTGACTGATGCCCAGCCTGTCACAAGCAGCAGTCACTTTCCCCGGCCAACTCCCCCCAAGCACGATGTCATATAGTATGGAATAGCCCTTTGGTCAGTTTGGGTCAGCTGTCCTGGCTGTGCTCCCTCCCAGCTTCTTGTGCGCCTGGCAGAGCATGGGAAGCTGAAAATGTCCTTGACTAGTGTAAGCACTACTTAGCAACAACTACAACATCAGTGTGTTATCAACATTCTTCTCATACTAAATCCGAAACACAGCACTGTGCCAGCTACTAGAAAGAAAACTAACTCTATCCCAGACGAAAACAGGATGCCTGTCTTTGTCAGCCTTGGTTAGCCTTTATAGACAAAAAGCCATAAAGCTCTGAAATAGCTCCTTAATCTCAGGAATAAGATTTTGCCGTTATAATAGGTGAAGATGTTAGCTCACTACTCTGTAGTGGTCAAAGAAAAGCATATGGAAAAAATAGGTAAGCAGATAAAATATAATTGTGCATCTCTGTCCTAACTGCTTTGTGTGACTTTCAAAAAGGGCATTACAGAACTGGAAAAGGTACATATAAGTGAAATGGGGAATAATTAGGGGTAGTTAAAAATTACTTCTATAAAAAGAATGACGAGTTTTTGAACTCTGAAAAGAGTTAAGAGGTCTATGAAATCTTGAACATCATGGAGAAAGTGAGTGCAAAATGATTCTTTGTTCTTTCTTTCCAAACAAAAGCTATCAGACCTCAAATTCAGCTTTTAAGAGTGGAGATCAGAACAAACAGCAGGTGGTATACTTCATATGAGCCTAAACCATGAGGTAATGCAGAAAAGAGAAAGCTAAATTCTGAAAGTAGAGCAACTCGGCGATACATCTAAAAAGTGTCACATGTCTCCTTTTGCCAATTCATGCTTTCCTGTAGTTCCTAAGTTGCTTGGCTGTGAGAGTAAGTATTTTCTTGACTCAGTGCTTCTTTTTAAGAATGTCAGGTTTTCCGTACATATGTTTAAACTTTGAAAGCGAACAGGTAAGCCAATTTTTCAGTCACTTGATTCCTGAAACAAGAATTTAATGAGATTTTTTAAAATGTTTTTTGGAGGACAAATTCTAGATTCTAGATAATCTGCCTCCCAACCAGATAAAATCATAAGGTGTCAGAATGCATCTGGAGTATGTTGAGATTTAGGGAAGTTGTTGTCTCTGTTTCCAAGTCATAAGAGGAGGTGATGTGAATTTCTAGCATTTCTTAGGTTGGCAGGGATACATGCCACACCTGCAAACATTCATTCCTAGCACTTCCACCACAAACTGGAAGTGGCAAGACACACCTCAGAAGATGCACTTGTATTTTTTTTTTTTTAATAGGATAGCAGCAGTTTTGGCTTCCTGTGCTACAGTGTTTAATAGTTGTCTGTTAAACTACTAGTCTGTTGGAGAGAATCTGTAAGACTTTGGAAGAATTTTTAGATAATCGTGGGTGAAAGTACTTAATGATCCCTGGATGTTTGCCATTGAGAAGTAGTTTGTCAATATTTGTTTTGTTTCGGTCTTGATAAAGGAAATGCACCTTAAAAAATATTTTGACCAATGTTTTAAATTCTTCTGTTTTTAGGAACCGATATTGCTGCCGGAGAGGAGGTTGCAATTAAGTTGGAATGTGTGAAAACCAAACATCCTCAGCTCCACATCGAGAGTAAAATCTACAAAATGATGCAGGGTGGAGGCAAGCAAATTATTTTCCTTCTGCAGAGATTTAACAGGTTTTCTGTCTTTGATGTATCTGCCACTTGAAAGTATTTAATATTTAATGGTTAAGATCTATCCTGAGACATAAGGAGAAGGTGGAGGAGGTGGCAGGGTACATGAAGAGCAGTAGTACCTCAGCTGTCCTGCAATGTAGAGCAGCAGTTGCAAATCCATGGCTACCAAACGTTATGATATCCACTGAGATCCTCCAGTGTTTCTCATGGTCCCAGAATATTAAAATGTGAAAACCTTGAACAATGTGGAACAAAGTTTGGTCCCATCTGGCAGTACACTGATTGACTTTTGTTTCTCATGGTTCAGTGAAAGATGCTAGCCACTGTTCTGGAGTGTTTAACCTGACTTGCTTATTATAGTAGCACAATTCTAAACTCAGTAAATTCAGCTTCATTTTTGTTGTATATGTTAGTATTCTTTCTTCTGAGTTAAAAATATTTCCTTACTGTGGGAATTCTAAGACAAACTGGCAATAGTGTTAGAGGAGTTAAGCAATGTCGTAGCTACTGTGTGGTACTCTGCTAGGATAACTCACTCACATATTTTGGAATTCTGCAACGGTAAGATGCAGTTCTGGGACGTAAACTTGGTGTAGTTAAGTTTTGCTTTTGTTTCATAGCCCCTTGATTCTTCCTAAATGAGGCTATACTTCATATAAAGACTACATTCCACATTGTATCTCAAATGCAAAATACAGTAATCCTACATCTAGAAATGGATGATAATGTGTATTTGCATTTAATTACTTTTTAATTCCTGCCTCATTCAGTTGCCACCTGTGTGTAACCTGAAGAGCCTTCATAGAGTAAAATGCTTCCTTTATGGGCTTACTAAGGCCATGATGGTGGGTTCCTTCTGAGGATGGATGCTGCGGAGGCAGGTGACAGAAGGTTAAGTTTCCATCCAGATAAGGGCTTCTCTGTGAAGGGAGTTCAGGAAAAAAGTAATGCATATCAAATAAAGGTAAAGAGTTTAAAATGGGTGAATTATACCATTTCACTTCCAAAATGCATAAAATTAGCTCACAGTAAAGGCATTTGAAATTCTGAATAAGGCTACCTACATACAGGTTTAATTCAAAATATTTGAGCGCTTTTACAGTTCTGTTTGAAATAACTTTCCAGTGTTTCTCCATAAAGCAGGGCTAATTTTAGCGCTCTCAAGCTGAATGTATAACATGTCTCATAAACAATGCTACTTTGATAGAGAGTCACCAAACAGCAAGTGCAGGGGAACTGGAGGAAAGACAAGAGTATGAAGGAAGGGTGAAAATTCATTGCAAATTGAAATGAATGAGAGAGGCTTTTACAGTGATCTTGTAGGCTTTGAAACAAAGAAGTTAATTCCTGAGGTCTTCTTCAGTAATAATATTTAGTGGTTTGTCAGTGTCTTTATTTTCAGACTTCCAATTTGCTCCTTATTGCCATCTTGGAGACTACATAAGTATTAATACTTGTAAAATGCATAAGGTTCAAATCCAGCAAAAACGCTAAATACTTTCAAATTACAGGCTAAGCACAAAGACTGGGAGGTTTCTGGGGAAGAGGAAAAAGGCTGGGTTTTAGACCTTGGTTGCTATAATTTTATATTTGTTCTGCTGTGAAGTTATCAAACTTTCTATTTCGGAATGGCTGAAGGTAGCATAAAATATTAAGCTTCACTGTAAATACAAGCATTCACAGTAATGACCCTCTTAGAATTCATCTTAAGAGCCTTGAAGATTTGTGTGTATGAACTGTATAAATCAAATTGTTATACTGAATAAATGGTTTCCTTTTTTTCTAGTGGGCATTCCCACAATTAAGTGGTGTGGAGCTGAAGGAGACTACAATGTAATGGTGATGGAGCTGTTGGGACCGAGTCTTGAAGATCTCTTCAATTTTTGTTCAAGGAAATTTAGTCTCAAGACAGTCCTGTTACTTGCTGACCAAATGGTAGGAAACTGCTTTGTTGATCTTGATAGTGCAGTATGTTGGGATATTAAAATTTCTTGAGAGATCATAACCAACTACTTTTTATTTCTGTAATTTAGAGGTGAATAGGCTGTATCGTTAGAGAAAAGACTCAAAAAGAGTTTTGTTTCTGTAAATATGAAGTGTCCTTTCAGAAGTGATTACAAAGTCTTAATGTGATTTTTAAAAACTGGACCTGTGCTGTTTGCAAACCAGGTGTTGCACTGCTCAAAGACAAATTCCCCCCCGGAAAGTTTTTGGAAACAAATGTGAAATAGACACGGGAAAGAGATGGAGAGAAGGTTCACCTATTGCCTTCTAAATCATGTTCTCTTTAATGCCCTTGCATTTCACAATAAAAAGTTTCTTTACCTCTTTTATCATTAAGACAGGGTTGCTAGTGTTTTTATAAGAAAAAAGGTGTATGCCCAGTCTCTTGATGATGATTTTTATTTCCCCTCTATATTTAGATTAGTCGAATTGAATACATTCACTCTAAGAACTTCATCCACCGAGACGTGAAGCCAGATAACTTCTTAATGGGCCTGGGGAAGAAAGGCAATCTTGTCTACATAATAGACTTTGGATTAGCAAAGAAATACCGAGATGCTCGAACTCACCAACATATTCCGTATCGTGAAAATAAAAACTTAACAGGAACTGCCCGTTATGCATCCATCAACACTCATCTTGGAATTGGTGAGCTGGGGAAAGCAATAAATAGAAACTTTAAAAGTGTTAATGCACATAATTTTAGTGCAAGTAGGTGTTGCTTTATGGAGGTATAGAAGACAGTCCCTATTTCTGGCACTAACAGTGCAGCATGTTTGGCCTTGTGTCTCTTGACTGAGTGGGATTTACTCAGTTTGTAATTCTCAGGAATTAGTGCATTTTTTAATAACTGCAAGGGTGATAGGCTTTTTTTGTACTGAATGAGTTTATCATGGGCAGAGTAGCTCAGCTATCTCTTGTTTTTCTAAGGGTTTTATAACAGTCTGTTGCACAGTCTTTTGTTTTTCCAGTAGAAAATGAAACCTAATGAGTCCACTTTTTTATGCTGTTGTAGAGCAATCTCGCAGAGATGACTTGGAATCCTTGGGCTATGTACTGATGTATTTTAACCTGGGCTCCCTCCCCTGGCAGGGACTGAAAGCAGCAACAAAGAGGCAGAAATATGAACGTATCAGTGAAAAGAAAATGTCTACACCCATTGAGGTTTTGTGTAAAGGATATCCTTGTAAGTTCCTCTTTTGTGGCACTAGGCCTACATGTTCATGTTTTAGTGGTATTTCTTTTTTCTTTACACTGAATTCTGCTAGTCTTTTTTTCCTTCCCTCCCTCCCTCCCTCTTCCTCTCACCACCCCCATGGTTGGGCATGTGTATGATAAAGATACTGTGCTTTCAAGATTGGGGTCTTTGTGATTGTAGACCATTTCTAAATATCCCTTGTCTTAACTATTAGTAAGCAGTCATTTCAGTGCCCTTGAGTCGAGGGGTAGCTTGGTACATCTGATTTGTGCTGTATTATGTATACATGCGTCTATGCTGGCTGGATAACTCTTAACAGAAAAATAGCTTTTTGAGAAACTACCCATTTCTTCATATGTGTGGATACTGTTTTTTGGATGAATCGGATTGTGTAGTCAGATGCACCTCTTACCTACTGCAGTTGTTTCACTTGCGAATTGTCATTCCATGTTCATCTGCTGGCTGGCAGCTGGCTAAACGTGACCCCGCAGTGTGCCCCGGTGGCCAAGGCGGCCAACAGCATCCTGGCTTGTATCAGAAATAGCATGGGCAGCAGGACTAAGGAAGCGATAGTCCCCCTGTACTCGGCACTGATGAGGCCATACCTCAAACACTGTGTTCAGTTTTGGGCCCCTCACTACAAGAAAGACATTGAGGTGCTGGAGTGTGTCACCAGCAATGAAGCTGGTGAAATGTCTGGAGAACAGGTCTTGTGAGGGAACTGGGGTTGTTTCACGTGGAGGAGAGGAGACTGAAGGGAAACCTTATCGCTCTACAATTGCCTGAAAGGAGATTGTAGTGAGGTGGGTGTTGGTCGCTTCTCCCAAGTAACTAGCAATAGGACGAGAGGAAATGGCCTCAAGTTGCTTCAGGGAAGGTTCTGATTAGATATTACGAAAAATTTCTTCACTGGAAGAGTGGTCAAACATTGGAACAGGCTGCCCAGAGAGATGGTGGAGTCCCCATGCCTGGAGGTGTTCAGAAAACATGTAGACGTGGCACTTGGAGATATGGTGGTGTTGGATTGACGGTTGGACTTGATCTTAGAGATCTTTTCCAACCTTAATGATTCTATGATTCTGGGATCTAGTTTGGCCTGTTGATGGTCAGCATCTGTGAGAGGCATAAGAAACCCTCCTAGCATCATGCCTCAACGCTCTTCAGTTTCTCAATTTGGTATTTACACTATAGTAATAACTAGGCATTTGTGAGCCCTGCAAAATGATACTTAAATCTTTTTCAAAACTTCTTAACATTAGCCACCATCAGAGAATATCATTGATCTTTCATTAAGAGTTCTGTCTCTGTTATTCCAACACTTTTGGCTTCGGCAGCTAAGTACAGTGATGAGAACTACAGTTTTTGTTAGGGTTGTATGAAAACTTACTGTATTTGATCTGTTTCAAATGTTGCTTCATACATGTTTCTTTACATTCATTAACTATGTTTTTTCTCTGGGGTTAACAGGCAGGGAAGACTAACCAAATTTCTTGTGCCATTCGTTAGAATTTCTTTCTTAACTTGTATTATTTCATCTGGAAAGACTTGAACTGAAAAGCTGGTATTTTGATACAGATACTATCTCTGGTGCATTGGATTCACAACAATAAGTTTTTTGGTTGGTTTTTTTTTCTGTGTGATTAATATTTTGTGTGCCATATGAAAACAGGTGGTCAAAATCTAAAATTGTAGCATGACTTACATGAGAAATTTATATGGCTCCTGCAACTTCTGCATGTTTTGTGAGCTGGCAGACATGAATCTTTATGTGACTTAACAACAAAGAGATGCTATTCCTTGTCCTGCAAGAAATTATGTTTAAATATATTCAAAGCAAAGAAAGGCAAAAAAAATCTGTTATCTTTGCTCAACTGTAGTTTTAAACCTGTCCTCCCCCACCCCTTCAACTGTTGGTTAAAGAACTCTATTATTAGGTCCTCTCTGCTCTTGACAAGTGAGGTATTTGCCTACTCTGTGATAGACAAATAATTTGCTTTTCAGGGTTGACTTGATAGATAGCTGGAGTGTTGCCTTCAGTAGATTTCTAGTATTAGGTCATTATTCTTTTCCATATGTTTAGGAGATTCCCTATTTGTTGGGTTTGGGGTGGTTGGGGTTTTTTTGTTTCAGAATTATAAAAAACAAATGTGAAGCTGGAGGAAAAAAAACCAGGCTTTCTTTTATTACAGCTGAATTTGCCACATATTTGAATTTCTGCCGTTCTTTGCGTTTTGATGACAAACCGGACTATTCCTATCTAAGGCAATTATTCAGAAACCTTTTCCATCGACAAGGGTTCTCGTATGACTATGTGTTCGACTGGAACATGCTGAAATTTGTGAGTAGCTGACATAGCTTTCTAAGCCTTTTTTTTTTTTTTTTTTTGTAATGGTATTTTTTTACTACATTGTCAGTTTTGAGTATCTTAACTGACACTGTGAGATTGTCTTGCCTTTTTCCTCCTGGAAGCTCTATTGTCTAGGAAAAAAAGTCTGTAAATGAGGAAAGGCAGGAGATAGAGGAGCCATGAGATGGGGGTTGAATGACAACTAAGTTGAAGTTACAGGGTTTTAAATGTGTAAGGCTTCTGAGATACTTCCTTCAGGGCAGTCACCAAGCTAGTTTGCGGAATTATTATTATTTTCCTCCACCTTGATCTTCAGCACATGTCATTTGCAACTGTTGAGGAGCTGTCCAGCTGCCATAACACTGTGTGGGTACATTAGCATTTTGAAGACTGTCCCAGCAGTTGTATGAGCAAAATTTTACCAAAATAATTAATGCCGTAGCAAACTTCGATTCACGGGTTGTCCAGTTCTTTTATTTTCAGTATTTTTATGCAAATATTTAGTTGTAAGCTCAATAATCCCCCAAGTTGTTCACTAGTCTTGAACCGTAGGGTGCAAGCAGAGCAGCTGAAGATGCTGAACGTGAACGGCGAGAACGAGAGGAAAGATTGAGACATACACGAAATTCAGCTGTACGTGGGTTACCCTCCACTGCTTCTGGCAGGCTGAGAGGAACGCAAGATGTAGCTCCTCCTACTCCTCTTACCCCAACTTCACATGCTGGTAAGTAAGCAAATGACTTGGATAGATGCACCTTGTACATCACCATACTTTGCAGTTTGTTCCTGATCATTGGAAATTCAAAATTAGAATTAGGGTACCTGAGTGGTATTTGTCTCTGGCCAGGGATTGGGTTTTTTGTTTGTTTTTTCCTCCCCCTTGCTTTTCAGTAGACTGAAGAAAATTGTATTTACTCATTACCTGGAAATTCCTACTTAGATTTCTGTGAATGTAAAACAAAGGCCTTGATTTCTCTTGTTTGACTCTCTGGAATTTTTATATGCAAACAGCATGAGTGTAATTTTTCCAGTGACCATGTTATAATCCCATTTCTTGTTATGAAAATCTAATGCAGTTTTTCTCACAGCCAACACCTCTCCTCGGCCAGTATCTGGTATGGAACGAGAAAGGAAAGTGAGCATGAGATTGCATCGTGGTGCCCCAGTCAATATCTCGTCATCTGACTTAACAGGCCGACAAGATACCTCTCGCATGTCAACTTCTCAGGTAAAAAGCCTTCTGTGTAATGGAAGAATGAGGGTGATTTGATAGTTAATTTGCTAAAAGAACATACCAGCCTAATTGAGGTGATTTCGTACTGATTTTGCAGATGATGTTGACTCGTATAAATATTTGACGTTTTACCTGAATATTTGTGATGTGGCTGCAGACTACTGTAAAGAAAAAAAATTTTTTTTTTTTTTTGCCTTGGCAACCGTAAGCGTGAAATACTCAAAGTAATAGAGAGTCATTGTTTTATGAGATGATGCAAAATCCTAGAGATACAGCATTTTTATCTACAATTACAGTGTTTAGCTCCTTTGCTCATTTAATTTCTTACATCTGTTATCAATGAGGAAGTTAGAAGCAGTTGTGAGTCGTGTTTCCGAATCAACAGAGCAGATAATATTGGTGCAGAATAGACAAGAAATAGTTGATGAAGAACAGAAAAGTGCAAAAGTGAAGAAACATAGTGCAGTACTGTAATTCAGAGCAGGTAAGAAGCCACGTACATGGATGATGGAAAGGTCACAGAAGGTTCATTTGAAGAGGATGGCCGGAGGATGAATGATACAATGTTTCATAGCCGTATTCAGCACTGAAATCATCCTCGTTGGTCACGGTGACTTAGCGAAGAGATTTTGGGAATGCTTCTTTTTAAGACTGGCGGTGTTTAAATACATTTTTAACTCTTCATGCTATAGCTGAAACATTCCTTTTTCAGGGTATTCACACAGGCTTGTCCTAAGTAGTGTGTGGCCTGGCTTTGTATAGCTTATTTTCAGTCTCACCTGTGGAATGGGCAATCACCTGTACTGTAGGAATACTGCAACATTACTGGGAGAGCAGTCTTATGAGGACTGGTACAGTTGCCTAGGGATTTTTCCATCACGCCTCAATGCTGCGCTGGAGTTCTAACTGCATAATTTTTGCTGTGGACTCGTTTGATGCCTTGTTGACAGAGCATATTGATAAAAATTAACTCAATTCCTTTTGACTTCTTCGTTTAATTCGCAGAATTAATTATTTTGGATAGTATGTGTTCTTATATATAAAATCTTCCTGCTAGAGGGAGCGCTCTTTTAGATGGAGGCCAGGTGGGTATCTCTAGTGAAGACTGAGGGTGAACTGGACTGGAGAAAAAATTCTGCTGTAGTAAGAGTGAAGTGGGATTTTTTGGGTTGGTTTTCAGCTGAATGAATTGTGTCACCATGTAGCTGCACAAATATTTGTGCTTGAACAAGGGATGAACAGATCAGGAGCAGAAATTACTGGATGAGAATAGGAGACAAGTGAGGTTTTCTGTGTTGGTTTTGGTGGTGATTTTTGCCAGCTTAAATTGTTCAGTGAACTACAATTCTTGCCACCAGAAATTCTCACTTGAAATATTCTGTGGCTGAAGTTTGTAAGCAGTGTGAAAACAAAGAGGACAGAACTGCGTGTAGTTATGGATCTTGTAAATATGCATAAATACCCAATAGAAGGATGTAAAGAAGGTCCAGCCAGACTCTTCTCGGTCATATTCAGTGAATGGACAATGGACAGTGGGCACAAATTGAAATATAAGAAATTCCATTTAGACATGAAAAATAACTTTTTTTACTGTGAGGGTGGGCAAGGACTAGAACAGGTTGCCCTAAGAGGTTGTGGAGTCTCCCACTTCCAAATTACTTGGAACCCAGTTGGACATTGTCCTGAGCGGCCTGCTCTAGTTGACTGCACTTTGGGTAATGGAATTGAACTACACGATCTCCACGGGTCCCTTCTGACCTCGGCTGTTCTGTGAGGCTGTGATGCCAAGTTCCCCTTGAGCATTTACTCAAATGTAAAGATGGTTTCCTGGTAAAGTATGTATGTCCAGGGTTTGTCTCTGACATTCCAAGCAAATCTCAGATGCTTTGTTACCAGTCAGATAAATAATTAATGGCAGTAACAGAAATAAGTGCAGTGGTGTTACTTGACTATGTTAGGAGAGAGTATATCTTTCTTTTTTTTTTTTTTTTGCTATATTACTGACATGTAACTCAGTGTGCTTGTGACACTTTTCTAAACACTGTAAGGTATGAGTAATTCAGGTGGGTTTGCAGATACATTTTGGTTCTGCCTGACTTGTAAATGGGAATACTCTGAGATTGTGTAGGACTGTGGGGTTTTTTTGAGTAATCTTCGAATATCCAGATGTATAATTTGTGCAGTGGGCCAACAGCACAGTCTGGCTTAATGGCACAGTGCCATACCCGTCCATTTTAACACTCTGCTCCAAGTATGGGATCACTCAGTTGACTTCTTTACAATCCCAGTAGCAGCCTAGTCAGGACCTTCTCTGAGTTTGTTAGAATTAATCATTCATCATCTCTTGTCTTCATTTAGTTCTTGTCAAGGCAGTGAACTACTGCTAGTCTCCACTCATGGTGACTGGATAACAGTGTGTGACTGTAGTATAATTTAAACAGCTCTCAGATTTGCAAGGCAAGAGAGGTTTACTTAGACTTTGCCTTATAACTCTTCCCCTTGAGCTTGTTAGAGAAAATTCGTTTTCATTCTCCCAGTTCTTGCTTACTCCATAGCAGGCAATATGGCTCAAGTGGCTTACATTCTTACTGTCTTCATAATGTTAAAGTGGTTCTTCCATAACCAAAATTTATCCTTAGACGTTAACCAGGTTACCAATTAAAGCCATGGGTTTCCCATTATCTTTATACCTTGTTCTTAGTCAGGAAAACATAAAGTATCCAACTCTCATGGCAAGGTTATTAAGGAGAATTTAATTGGCTAGGTGTAAGAATATAGAAAATCATCCATGGCACTTCTTATCAGGAGAACAGTAAAGAACAGTGACTGTTTGTCCATGCCCATTCCAAGTGTGTTAGTTTCCTTTGCAAGTCTTAAGTTAAATGTGCTACCACTGTTCCTTTTTCAAGAAGCGCTTAGACCGTTCTCCTGGTAGAAAGCAGCTTTTAAAGTTTGCTATGCAGATCTATAGATGTAACAGCTCTAACAGGCGTAGTTCTTATTTATAACTCAATAAATTAGTTTTGTTATTTTACTTTATTCGGATGCCTTGGTTTGGTAAGGCAGCACTGCACCTGTAATCTCCACCTCATCTAGAGGAGGAGCTACTGCTTGTTAAACTCTGGGCAATGGAAATGTGCAGAGGTTACTCAAAGGAATAATGAAAGCTACTTACCTCTAAGTAGAGTTCTTAAAGATGACTCCACATTTTTATCTCTTTTTTTCCAAAACGGGTTTGATCAGTTCAGACAGAAACTGAAAACTAAGGCTGGGAATGTAGATAATATGAACCAAAAATTTTTCACGGAAAACAGGTCTTCTCAGAGAAATGTAACACATGTGTGGTAAGGATAGCAAAATAGACATTAATGTATATTCCCCACCTCCAAGGTATTGTCCACATAGTACCTAAATAATTCTCATTAGAAAGACTAGCACTTTGTAACACTAAGTAACGAGTGTTTATTGGAGTAACAACTAGCATGTCTATGAGATGGTTCATGAAACTTAAGCATTTCTAAGAAAATTATGTAAATTCTGTGGCACACATTATGCAGTACTTTTCTGGATTATATGGAAGTGAATGCAACAGCTAAAAACCTACAAGTTGTAAGATGTTTGACAGCAATAACCATTAGTGAGAGTTGAGCAGTCAGGTAAAGCCTACTCAAGTAATATGTGTATTACTGCAGTACTCCAAAACACGTTTAGGATGAGAGAATGGAGTCCATTGTCTTATATGTGGGAACTATATCCGTGGTAAGCAATGACTGAGGAGGCTTTAGGTGTAATGTTGGAGAGGTTAGTGTGATGCCATCATGAAAGGGCATTCATTTCATCCTTGAATCTGTGTATGATACAGTAATGAACAGAATTGGAGAGGTTATTTCATGTCATTAATGAGACAGATGCTGGAATGTTATGCTTAGTTCAGTTCTTCGTATCTTAAATTGTTGGAAAACTAAGTAACACCAAGAAGAAGAGCCATAAAAATTGAGCTTGGAAAAACACATTGTACAATGCAAGAATTTCAAATTGATGTCTTTCCATTTGCTGAAGGGTAAGAGATCATTCTGAGTTAGTTGGTATAGTATTGTAGAGACAATGATTTTAACAGGAACTGACATTTATGCAGAAAACATATGTGAAGAACTATTGCTTAAAATCAAAAACACATTTAAGGAAAAGTGAAACAGAGGTCTAAGTGAAGGCAATTAGCCACTGAGACAACTTCTAAAAGAAGTATATCGTCTGTCCCCTTTGCCTTTGCATCAAAACTGGATTCATTTCTAGGTGGTGTATTCAGGTCTAAAGCAAGCCTAAATTACAGGTCTCTGTGCAATGAAGAGTTGTCATCTGTGCTGGACAGACAATCCTACTAGCTGTTAAAAGATCTTTCTGCTCTTAAGCTCTATGAGTAAATTGTTCACTAAGTCTCCTTTACGTAGTCAGTCTTTAAATGTTAAGAAACGTAGTAAAGGAGGTAGCAAAGGAGGTCATGAGTCTTCTAGTAAACACTACTTTGAATCAGTTCTGTCGGTCCACATTGCATCCCGAAAGCAGTGATCATCTCAAGAGTCTAGTTATGGGTGAGTAGCCTTCATTTCCTTTCACAGAAGGTTCAGTCTGACTGCTCATGGTATACAGTAAGTTTTTTAATTTTTTTTTTTTTTTTCCCCTGAATGTAGCATGTTCAGCACCCAACAGTCAAAGCTGTGCATAGTTCCTGCTGGTAATGGAGGTATTCTCTTTGTAGTTGGAAGAAAAGATTGGAATGCTGCACAAAGAAATATTTGATTAAGTCTCTTTGACAGAAGAAGTTTTTAGAAGACTGTAGCCAACACTGGCATTGAACAATTTAAGTGTTGTGCCACTTCCCTGGGGAAAAAGCAACATACTTCCAATGCATTTTCCATCTCTTCATGAGCAAATCTTTCTCCATATATCCATCTTAATAGGCATCATACTCTGTGTTGTTCTTCTGACCCTGTCAGCTTTCTTTGAGGAATAATGATTTGTTCCTTTTATGTATCTCTTAATATGATAGAAATGTCTTAGAGAAGTCTGAAATCAGAGCTCCTCAAAAGATGCTTTTGCTACTGCAAGTTTAGGTTGGATGTTTGTTAGACATCTATATATTGGGCCAGTGGAACTGTTACAAATTGCTGTCTTTTCCCCTACCTCAGAATAGCATTCCTTTCGAACACCATGGCAAGTAGCTGCTCGTCTCCTTTCGTTGGAAGGCAGCACTGGGTGAGTGCTTCTCATTAGACACCAGAACTTTGGATGGGGTGGGGAAAAAAATCTTTGGAAACATCCTACTTTTCTGCTTCTCCTCACATTATCTCATAGTTGTACCTGTGGCTTCTGGTCAGATGCTTGATAGAGCATTGGGTTTTCTCTAACTTAAAAGTAAATGTCCTTCCAAAAGTTGAATTATTGGTGCTGTTCCACTTGGACTCTTAAGCAGAACTGACAAAAATAGTGACTTTAAAAGTCCCTAAAATGATTCAAGCATCAACAATAAAATAAAATAACCAAGTCTAAATTTTAGCTGTTTGAGAATTACATGTCTTTCCAGGTATGTTCATGCAGCAGTGTGTCATCCATTCAGAAACAGATCTGCTTCAGAACCGTAAAACCAAAATACTTGTGTGAAGACTCAATTGACTATATTACTCAAATGAGGCTCTGTCTTGTCGTGAATGGAATGTTCTACTACAGCCGTATCAATTTTCCACTAGTTTATATTCTTCTCCATTCCTTAGGAGCTATCATTTAAAAAATAGTTAGATCTATTCAGGTGTATATTTAAAAAATGTTCACATGCTAATGAGAGTAGTTTGAACAGGAGCATCTTGGAGCTAGACAGGCTTGAATTTGGGTATTGAGAACTCCTTTCCGCCGTTCAGTGCAGTAGAAGTTTCTGCCTTTCTGTGTGCAGCTTTTGGCTTTTTAGTCTGTTCTGCTTTTGGCAATAACAGGCTTCATCAGGGAAGTAACAAGTTTCAGTTGGAATCTGAACCTTGATGGCTGAAGGACGCTTTCTTAAGTATTTGAGAAGCTTCTTTGCTTTGCTTCTTACTAAAAAAGGCTGTGAGATTTTTCTGTTCTTTAATAAATTCTGTTGTATAACTCCGTCTGCTGCCTCACTTTCTCTATAAAGCCTAAGCTTGCACTAATTCTGTATCTCTAATTGGTGAAGAATCCTGCTATTCCTCTTCCGTTTCCTCCTGCTTTATGTGCTTTGCTGACTGTGCACAAGCTGCTTTGTAAACAGTTTGTAGCATTAAAAAGATCCAACTGTAAATGGCAGCTTAACACTTTAAAGTCCAATTATCAGACCTTCATCAAAAAAAAAAAAAAAATTAAAAGCAAACCTAAAACTTTGCATTGGAAAGCTTGTGTGTGGGAGACTGTGCAGATTCTGGTCTGCTCAGGGTTGTGTCTGCATTGGTTGGCCTTTACTGTATGCCTTATTATTTGTCGCTGTTTACAACTGAAATTAATACCAAATACTGTTTCAGCTACTTAGACATTTCTTGCTTCTTAAATTGCAGTGATGTGTGTTTTTTTCACTTTTAAAACTGAAAGTGTTGTTAAAATGTTACATTATTACTGAAATAGGTCAAGCTGTGGAAATGAATGAATTGTCTTTTAACACAATGTCCATGAAAAATGAAAAGCCATTGCAAATAATTTTTTTTTACCCTCTTATTGGGATTTCTTTTTCCACAAAAACCTTAATTATTCATTGAGTCTATTTCTGCGCATTGGTAGTGTTTTCATCTGGTTTGTTCTTTCTTCTGTGCGTGTTTATGCTCTGTTTACTTTTCTTCAAAACATCCCCTCTGGCTGGAAAGGTGAATTTTCCATGTTAACTTCTAATAAAGGAGGAAAATAGAGGGAACTTCATGTAGCTACAGGTGGGTGCGAAACATTGTATATAGCTCATTGGATTTTAAATTCACACACTTTTGGCAACGAATTATTTAAAAGTACATTGAGAGCCATTTGTATGTTAACTGGAAGGATATGTGCTGATGTTGTCTTGTTTTTTGGCTTTGGTAGATTCCTGCTCGGGTAACTACCAGTGTTCTCCAGTCTGCTGTGCACCGATGAGAATTATGTTGCCATGGAGGGCAGATAATGCATGGCTGATCTCCTATGTTACCAATGGCTTTACTAGCAAAAATACCCCTAAACTAGAGCGGAAACATTACAATTGGAGTTCTCCATGTGACTTAAAAGGCACTTGGAGGAACATGGACAGACTCCAGCAGCTGCCATTACAGGACGCTTTTGCCAGAAACCCAATGACCTTAAGAGAACCCTGTGGTAACAGGGCTGGAAAAGAAAGATGGTTTACAGAGTTGACCGCCTGTTATCGGATGGCCATTTCCGTTTTCCCTCCACAGGCGGCAGACTTTACCCCCTTTTTATTATTCTACTGTAACTATAAATCTTTTACTTGGTTTAAGAAAGTTTTTTGTATCATTTTGCTAAAATTATTGGCTTAATTCTCTGTAAAGAACTCTTGCTTTTGTCTGATCTAAAAATGTAGAATATAAACAAACCTAAACTAAAGACAATGACTTGAAATTTCTTGTTTAAAAAAATTAGTCTGGCAGGGAACATGTAAATGAATCAAAACAATCTGACTTTATTTAAAATGTTTACTTACTTGTATGGTCCCATTCTGACTGAGACGGTTTTCTCATGTAATTTTTAAAACTGTTAGAATTTTACTTTTCTGTTTGCTGTCTTCATTCACTCTTAACATTTAACTTTCCATGTAACACAAAGGAATTTTTAATGGTCATTCTTTTTTATAAAAGAGGAGAACTGAATACCCTGTAGGGGAGTCTAAGTATAGTAAAGAAGGTGATAATGGATTTCTTTTTTTTGTAAAGAATACGAAGGACAAAGTGAAGGAGTTTGGCGTTTGAGGGATTTAGAATTTGAGAGCTTGTACTCTCTCTCTGCTTAGTATGGGTAAATGGATAGTTTCAAACGTTTTTATTGGTAAAATTTTGTTTCCTCCACTCTAAGGCTGGTTAGCTTGGAGGGTATTGCAAGTGGAAAATACATATTGCTCCTGAGTCTTCAGTGAATTTGCACGTTTCATTCAGCATCTGCAAGTTTAAAAATAAACAAATAAATTGATTCAGGCCTTCTGTTTCATGCCAAGACTCAAAAAAGGAATTCTTTAAAAACAAACAAACAAACAAAGAAAAAAACCACCACAAAAAAAAACCCCAAACCACCAAACAACAAAAAAAACCCCAACCTATTCTTGCTGTGAAATACTGAGAATTTTTATAATTCAGGTGCATACCATATTTAATTCTTAACCTGAGTATGCCCAGAATCATTAGCTAGGAACGAATGACTCAACATGCTTAGGTTGCCCAAAAAACTGTTGCAGGTGTTGTTAGCACCTCTTGGTTGTGGAATATGGGAGAGTCTTCATATTGTCTGTTACTGTAAACAGTCTCATAATATAAAAGTAGGTATTCTGTCCTCACAGTACTTGGAACAGTATCAGAAGTACTGTTTATACTAGTATGACTGAAGTAATGGGAAGTTCCATGTTGGAAATGAAAGTATAGAGATTTTGTTTGAACAGTTAAGTATTTTGAGAAATTCTTCCCTGCTTGAAAACGTATTTTTTTTTTTTTAAAGGCCTTGTTGGTCTTCAGAGTTTTATGAAGAGTAATTTTTATTGTTTCAGTGTTTACAAGTTCTGTTTTGCCCCTCTCAAAAGTCCACATATTAGGTATTAGTCACTCTTCTTTGGATGTGTTCAGAACATTAGCTACTTGCTTGTGTGTACTCTGGGTTTGACTGGGGAAACCTGTGTTTGGGGAGAGTATGTGGAAAAGCTTAAAAGTTTGATCCATGGATAAGTTTGCATAAGAGAATTATTTCCTCAGTTACTATAAACTTCAGTATTTTAGGCATGTGCACTACCATTTGAACAGTTTTACACTTCACTGTGCTTTCCTTGTAAATATCTGTGGTTAATAATGTACTGTTAGAGGGATTTACAAAGGCAGCCTCTTTATTCTCACTGTATCTGGAACATTAGATTGCTGTACTATACTTAAAATTTGACTGCAGGCTTCTAGAATTGTACTCACTTGTGGGCAATTTTTGTCCTTCATAATAGTTAAATTCTATCATGCGGAAAATAGTTAGACCGTCTATATAAACCTGTGTATTGGAAACCACTATCTCAGAGCACTTCATTTGTACTACCACTGTATTTGTGTACTTTAACAATTGTGTAAATACATTCATAATAACTTCTATTCTTCTTTGGTGTAACTTACAATGAATCCTTACTCTTTACCTGGTGTAACTTCTTTCTTTTTTTTTTTTTTTTTTTTTTTAAAGGGGTTTCTGTACCTACAAGAAACATTGTCAGCTGCAAACATTTGAAGACATTGTGGTGGTACTAAAACTTTCACTGAAGGATTTTGGTAGTCATGGTCAGAATGCAGCAGTTAGGGTATACAGGAAGAAAGAGAAGGCACTCATTGCTTTGCTCACAGAAAGCGTGTCTTTTGTCTCTTTAAAGGTAAATGCTTCTTGTTTGGATATTGCTTCTTCTCCAGAAGTCTTTTTTACAAACACTTTCTCTTATCGATACAGTGTATTACTTGATAGGAAGTATGGGAAGAGAATTGCTATTGAGACTTGATCAGTTATGGGAGCTAGGATAAAAGCAAGAAAAATATTGAGCTCTACCCACAATGCCTCATGCAATAAAAGTCCTGGCTTTTGCTATGTAATTTTCAAAAGTCTATTCATAATTTGAGGGCAAACGCACCTTCAAGAACCCTCTGTGTTTCTGATTAGCAGGCCTTTAAAAGTTGGAAGGATTATTTAATTGATCCTCACAGTTTTCATTTAGAACTGGCTATGTGGGTTTTATGTGAAAAATACCGCCTGTGCTACTGTTTTACATAATCTTGATGGTTAGAGAGTCCCTGAATTCTTTGTGGTGCAAGTACCTTGACAACAATTGAAAACAAATCCTATGCTTTGAGAGAGAGATTAAGTAAAAGCATTTAAGAAGTGCATATATTCCATGTTAACTTCATGAAAGTACTCAAAAACTCCAGAGGCATCTCATCCTTCATTCTCCAGTGGGGAAAAATATTAGAAGCACAACTATTTGTTGTCTTCATTTCCCCACATTCCAGACCTCTGAGTGGTAGCTCCTCCACAAAATCTGTCAAAGGCAACACTTTGAGAAATTTAATTTCCTGACAAGAATCTTTACAATGAATTTACAGATTAGTAAGTAGGTCATTGGCTAGAGCATACATGTTCATTTCAAGAGTACTTATTTTCTCTTTGTAAAAGAATGAAATAAAAAGGTATTTATTTTGTTCTTTAACTTTTGCTTTACAAGAGCAGCACTTCATGTAGACAAAATGCGAAGTGAAAACAAACCACTCTGCTGTTTTTTTAATAGTGCTGAGCCATCTGGTCAGAAATCTAGATTTAATCCAGTTGTGAGGAAGTGTAATCCACCATGAACTTAATCCTACAGCAAGGTAGCTTCTAAAATTCACTGGGTGAGACAGGTTAATAATAAGAAGGTTTTACCATTAAAGAATGCAGTACTTCATTATTAAAAACAGTACACTTCCCTCTGGTTCATTCAGGTGACAATTACTGGCATTACATGTATATGTCTAGATTTAAGTGATTGTATGAACCAGAATTGTATGGACTGTTGGCATCGTTCAGTAGTGTGTACCAGGAGAGTGCTCAGAGGCCTCATCTCCAGTAAGAATCTGTTTCACAGCAAAATCCTACTAACTTTATCAGCAAATATTTGCACAAGAGTAACACTTGATGACTTTTTCTCAGACATTGTTGGTTTTTTCCTGTTTAGTCTTATTAAGGCCAGTATGCTTTGGTTCTTTTGACAAAACCATTGGATGCTGTAGGCAGAGGGACAACAGAAAATTAGATGAGATCTGTATATACACGATCTACAAAAATAAGCAGTCTACAAAAAAAAATTTTTTTTAAGATAGTGTTCTTTGTTAATGTCATTTTGGGAAAATTTTTGATTCAAAAGGCATAGATAAGATCTAGGTCTGAGAAATATAAGCATAATGGGCAAATAGGAATGTGGACAAAGGGGAAATTGCGTATATCATCCTAAAGCATTAAGACCCAGTCTACTGTGTCTTTGTTGTGACCAATCCAGGATACTTGGGGCAGGGTGGGATGTGGAACAAACCAGGAATTCATTTGGTACATTATGCACTAGGAAGAAAATGTCTAGTACTTATCTCAAAACCAGACAAAATGTTTAGTTACAGCCCTCAGCTTGGTTCAGAGCTGCAGGCATTACAGGCACAAAGGCAATGTAGAGCTTCTGGTATTTGTCATAATCCTTAAGGAAAGGCTAAACCAACAATTCACAGTATTTTGAGGTGATGTGCAGATTTTTTTTCTTCAAAGATGCCAAACAGCAAATGTTCCTCTGCTCTCACTGCTAAGAAATTGTATTTTAAGTTTGTCTGACATTGTCAACCACCGGATTTTATGCCACATTTTTCAACAAGACTGAAAAGTCTTTTGCTATTTAAGAATTTTAAATACTAAAATCTGGATACACTTCTTCATTGGATTCAGAGTTTTCCAGTGAAAGGCTTTAAACTGCTGAAACAGTAGTAGATGGAAGAGACAGAAGAGCAAGAGCTATCCTCATTTCTTACTGCTCTAAGGCATTAATCTAGGGATAGTGAGGAAAGTTGACGGCTGGAATGTTGCTGAGATGATGAAGCAGGTATTGAGATCAGTCAAGGAACAAACAGCATATAACTAGTGGTAAGGAGCTTTTTACTCTGTCTGCCCCTAACTTTCCATGTTTTCTCAGACAAATGAAGGAATGCTGATCTCGCAGACTGCATCACTAGCAAGATACTTTTAAGAGCCCTGACTTTTGCAGTAGATGCACCTTTTTCCTACTGGCTCTATTCCAGAAGCATTGATAAGGCTGCTAAAGTAATATATTCCAAAGCCGTTACCTCTCATACACAGTGCCTCCGCTATTGTCAAAGTTGTTTACTCTTAAAATATTGGTGGGTCACCTTCCTTCAGCAGGTCCAGCAGCAGTGAACAGCAGCTGTGCAATTCCGGTCACGTCCATTTTCCTCCACAGCGAATGGCCTGAGTCCTTTCTTTCAGACTCAAAGAGTACCAAGAGGCAAAGATACACCCTTTGGTTTTCTGTCACAAGGATGTGCTGACTGCATGCTAACGCATTCTGTCATTTCAGTCCACCCGATAACATTCATTCCCATAGCAGCTTAGGGCCTGATACAGCTGGCAGGGCAGCAAGGTATTTGATTATACCTTAAGACTTAGCAATTTAACTAAACTAGCATAAAAAGGGTAATGATGTTTATTCAAACATGGGGTTTTATGTAAACTAGACCTACAATCTTTGCAGTGTAAATATACAGAGAAACTTTTGAAGCTGAGCTTAGATAGATTTTTCCAAAATTTCTCAGCAGAGATACTTAGAATTAGGCACAAATTGGTGTGAGCTTTCTAGATGGCTTCTAGATAGCAAAATGTAGCTCTTGTTACATTGAAGAGACTGTAATTTTGATTCACTTGGGTGTAGCCTCAAGATTTTACCTTCAGGAGCCAATCTTATCTTGGGTACGACAGGATCCAAAAAACTCCACAATAAATGTATTCTTAAGCTACATTTTCTTAGGAGGTTTCAGTTCTAAAGGGCATCACTTGACGATAAAGATAGCTTGCTGGCAGGTCAGTATTCAAAATATTTAGAGCTTTATAAGTCAGCAGTTCATAAAACTTGACCTTCAAACAAAACCTGGAGCACTCTTCAGAGGAAGAAAGTAGTTTCTACATAGAGCACCACAAAATTAATAGCTATTTTAAACTAGTTGATTGCTTTAAGATAGTCTTCAGGATCATTTACAGCAGGAGCCCATTTCCATTTTGGAATTGGCCAAACTATGAGTCATGGCAAAAGCAGTCCCCTTGCCCACGTTAAATTCTAGCTGCCTGTCAGCTTGGCGTCACCTCTTACTTTCTTCTCTATAAGCACTCTGCTTCTGTGTAGCTATTGAGCATGTACAAGTGAAGCCAAATTTCCAGATCTGGGTGTTAAAATTATTTTTTCTAAGCTTATTTTCTCACACAGTTTTTGACAACCAAATAAATATTTATTCACTACATTTGCAACAGCTTACTAGAAAAGCATAAAAAAAAGTATAAATGTACACGTTACATTAAAGTGCATTAACAAGAAACAAAAATAATAATCCTAAAGGCAAGTGTGGCAGAGACACAGACACACACGTTGGTACTTACCCCTCTAGCCTGTAAGAGTTTGCGTTCTCCTGCGAGCCCTCTGTTTATGATTGCCTACCAAACTGAAGCTTTTCTTTGGGACGTCACAAAGGTGCACACATGCGTGTATTTGGGATTTTCATTTTGAAGTTTGATTGCTTGGTTAGGGGAATGTTTTCATTTCTTTTTAGAGAATGATTTTACATTGTCTAACACGTATTTGTTCGGATGGTATTTAATATGAACAAGCACAAGATCTGTCCAGTCCTTCACACCATACCTTCATGCCGTCTCAAGTCTCAACTGTAGGGAACTAGCTGCTTTAGCAGCAGGTACTGCTAAAGACTTGCTGTAATGTATTTAAGGACCAGAGAAAAAGAAAATCTAGAGATTGTGATTTTAAACAGATAGCTGCATCACTTTTAAGATTTTTAGTTCTGCTGAGATCTTCTAGGCTTCAAATAGCTACAAGATATTTATTTAGAAAATTCTAAAAAGCAAGCTTATCTTTGTATAGGAGGAAGAAGAAAACAGTTTTAACTCTGCATTGCTCATTGTCTAGTAAACAGGCAACCTGTGTCTGTTCTACTCTACTGGGTATTTTGCATGTTTGATATATAGAGATTGATACATACATATATAAATATATATATGCACAGACATATACACCTCTTCATATATTCTGTGTGTGTTACAGGCGTTTATACGCACACACTCTCCTTGCGTTAGGAAATTAAGGGCCAAAGATCCTTTACATGATCAAACATACAGTATTTTAACCATAAATCCTATAGTGCACTATTTATAGAATGTACAAAGATCTAAAAAGCTTTAAAAATTATGCTAGCCTGCACAATGAAAGACCATTCATTGGTTTCCGAGAAATAATCTATGAAAACTATTTTTCAATTATTTTGTAGTATTATACTTGCATTTTTTTACACTTGCAGTTTTTGATTGTTTCCCTCACAGACTTCTTAGTTTCATGAACTATGTGTCTAAAGAAATTACATTTGTTCTAATACTGTATGATGCAAGAGAAAATTATAATGTTGCCTTTGGGATGCTTGGCAATTCAGTTGTATAATTACCTGCCTTCCCCCCTTTCTTCCCTTTTCTTTTTTCAAGTCATAAAATTGTAACCAGGTGAAGGTTGAACCAAAATTGATCCAGGTAGATGTTGCATGGAACTGTTACACTTGTGTCCCTGGGCAGTTAACTGTCTCTTCAAACAATGCCTTATGACTCCAACCGTGCATGTCCTCAAAATACATGAAAGAGCGCATCTCGCCAACTGCTCTTAAGGGGATCTTGGTGGTGTTGAGGTTAAAGTACTGTAGCAAAATACCTGGAGGGGTTTAAAAGCAATTCTTTGTGAATTTTAAATAAGCAGAGTTAAATTAATAAGGAACCAGGCTAGTCTTTCCAAGAGAAAGGCTTCCAATACAATCCTCTCCTGTATGTTAACAGTTCCTAGCTGGTGTTTGAAGACAGCACTGGGAACCTAATGACTGCTTGGTTTTTGGTTGGTGGGTTTTTTTGGGGGTTTTTTTTTTGATATCTCAGGGTAGGAAGGAGGGAGATCTATAAAGCACGAGCTCAATGTAAAGGCCTTTATGGCCGTAGGAGCAGTTGGGTACATGCCTGAGCATACTGGCCCACAGTTGTCCAGGCTAGGGATCTGGCATGCATGGAGGTTTCCTTCCCATCAGTACAGCCAATCTCTTTCCAATGAAATGAAGGCAGCTGAATGGAAAGAGGGCTGGAGGGCTAGCACACACCTGATGTCATCCCTGAATGGGACAGAATGGAAGCAGGGAGCTTAACTGGCTTCAGAAGTACTCTTAAGCCTGCCAGTTTTGATGTTGCCGAGAGCTCTGGATTAGGAGTTTCTCATCTCTGTGTTGATGCTGCTTGTAAATAATGAAAACGGTATAAGATTTTATAGCCTGTGTGAAACTGCTTAGCAAATTAAATTCCAACCCTTATTTCTCACAGTTGGTAAGAGTCCTGTGATTTGACCTCTCTCATGCAGTAAGCATCTCCTGCTCTCACAAATACTGCAATCTGGGTGGGTCTGTGCTGAAAATAGCACAAGAGCGCTGGCAGTCCTACTCGGAGTAGTTCGTCTTTTGAGTCGAGGAACAGAACTTGCACAGGCCAATGAGGCATTTTCTGTGAACACTAGATTTACTTTAGAAATTACTTATAGTGTCTTGTTGAAATGTGTTTCCCTTGTCCCTCTTCTGCCTCAATTACATAAAATTGTAACGTAACGCTTCTTGTTTCCAGCTTAACCATAAAGGTATTACATATGGCAAATGAAAGATGGTCTGGAAAGTCAGTATGATAAGCCCAAATTTTCAAGATGTTGCAGTCTAGACAATTTGAAGAGTGTCTGGAACGTTAAAATTGTGCCAAAACCTGAGGTCAAAGGAATAACCATTTAGTTCTGTGATAACAGTATAGCATTATCTAGAAAAGGAATCTGGTGATCAAAACACACAGTAAGACAAAAATGGCTATTTGGAGAATCTGAATTCACCTTTGGGAAGGTTTCTAATTTTTGCTTTTTGAAACAGAACAAGGAACTCAAATCTGAAAGCTGTAGCAGGCCTTCATGTATCATCTGAAGCAGCCTCCAGTGCTGTCATAAACTGATCTGGGGATTCCATTTTCCTTTTGCCCGTTCATATGGTGGCCTTCTGGAGTTGGCAGTATTGTGTGCCAAGTACAGATTTTAGTCTTCAGCAAACTGGAGGTACGTTTGGCGACTAAGGTCTTATATCTAGGACGTGCCAGTACAATTCCTGCCACTACATTAATAAAAGGTTTTAAAGTAATGCACTATATGTAATATAAAAATAAAGTTTATTCAGTGCAGCATCCATTTCTTTTTATAAAACCACTTGAAGAAAGGGTATGATCCTAACTTTTCAATTTCTGTGCAAGGTTGTCCTAACAATGCAAAACCATTTTGAGGAAACTGCCAGAATGGAAGCTGGTATCTGAGATGAGAGTTCCAGCTAGGGAATGGTTCGTGGGTTTGGCACTTTGTTGGGTTTACTATATGTGTCTGTTAAAATGGCCGAATATGCAACAGCTAATGATGTTATTTTTAAAAGGGATACAGGGGTTTAAGGGATTAGGGTCTTTTAGTTTTCAAGTTATTAAGCGGAACAATTTGGGCACCTGAAAGCCAATACTCCTTTGCTACCAACAAGAAAACTGCATCTGTTGCAGTCAGTCTCTTTTGAAGATTGTTACTGCAGTCACAAAGCCTAGAGAGCTTTTTATAAACATCTGAAAGGTGGTTTGTGGTAGCATAACTTTGTATAAAAGATTACATTTCTTGAAGAGGGTGTTGGGGGGGGGGGGAATGTATAGAATGCCTTCCTTTTACCTTCCTTTTCTATTCAGTGTCCTCACAATGAATCTTTTCCCTTTACACATTTCTTCAAATGTGCTGTCACTGCCTGATCTATTTTTTCTCCTTCCCCCATACTAATGTCAAGATATAAAGACTGGCCAGAAACTCCCCATTCTGTTTGTGCCATGAGTAGCAGAGCTGACCCCATTTTTGATTGGTTCTTACGCACTGCTGTCATAAATACGATCAACAGTTCTATTACGTTTCCTCAACCAGCAAGAACGGCACCTTGAACTTCCATAGATTAAGCAAAAGGATAGGGAAGTGGGGTAAATGAGAAAACAACCAACCAAAAAAATGTTAAGACCTTCCTCTGCTGCTAACATAAAGATGGCTAGCATGTTTCAAAATAGTCCAGTCCCTTCCCTGAGGCTACCCAATCTAATTTACAGGTCATC